GTTGAATGGTCTATGTATTGAATCATTTTATTGACTCACATTTTTAATAAGATTTAACATTTAAAAACGATTTTTCAATGTTAATCGAAAAGTAAAAAAAATTTTTTTTAATTTTTTATATATTTAATATTTATTGGTTCAATGTCTATTTTTACTGTCTGTTTAATATATGTCTTTTAAATTAATGAATTCCTTAATTTTAATGAAAAAATTTTTTGTACGTAGTTTTAAATATCTCAATATTGGTACTTTTATCTTATACATTTGTAAAATCATTAGACTTTTACTATAAAAATCGGCGCGATTCTCAATCTTGCACGATGCTAATGTAATCGATCGAAAGCTATGCGTTACGCGCTCGAAATAGTGTTCGATTCTGTTTGACCTCTTATTACTTGCGACATTTTCATTTATTCATTGGATATAACGTAATTGATTTTCGACAAATAAAAATATCTTAATTATATATGCATATAAATAAGAGAAACAAATATCTTCCAAAAAATATATTTTATTATTAAAAATATTTTATTAAAATATATTTTGATTTCGTTGATGTTTATATATATATATATATATATATATATATATATATATTTGTTTACTGCATGTAGCATCTAATTGTAGCAAGCAATATCGTTCCTTAATATCGCTAAACGTATAAAAAATTAATTTTACTTTTCACAAATTTAATTAAGGCAATAATTATTATTTATTATTTTGAGCTACGATTATTTATTCTTAAGATCTTAAGGTCTTAAGGTCTTAAGATCTTAATCAATACTCAAACTCATTGTTATCCTTTTTCGATAATACGTTGATTATCATCTCAATCTCATCTCATATGTGGCGTGTGACTTCGCAGATATAACAGTATATTTTGACAATTCAATTTAATATGATTAAGATTATTAAAGTTTAAGATTAAATTGAGTTAAGTTTATTATAATAATTAAAAATTTACAGTTAATTTACAGTTGATAAATAAAAATAAACGCGTGTATTTTGTGATTCTTAATCTATTAAAAAATATATAAAACATACAAAAATTAAAAAATATAAAGTTTATCCTTTTTTTAATAGATCAATATTACATTTGCCTCTTTATATCCTCAAAGATTATAATAATTTTTTAGTCGGGTTGACAAATATTATGTACTCAATGAATCTGATAGTAATATATATATGTTTATTAAAATTTAATTTTTAATGAGAGTTTCTTCGAGATTAATTTATTTTGGAGAACAAAAAACGAGAAAACATCTAAAAAAGATTTACAATGTAATGTATAATATATAATATGTTTCAAATTGTTTCGAATATGTGCCGGGGAAACAGCTTGTGACATTTAGAAAGGTTTACGATAGATAATTGGCTTGGCACTGTTATACCGATTGAATGCGGCCAATCGCAACGTCGACTCAGTTTAAATCCGCGCCAATCGAACGTTCGTTTTTCGCCACGGGCGCATCTCGAAAATCCTGCATCTCATGGCCGCGACGTGATGTCATAATACTGTTGATCCCTCGATGATTAAAGATTGATAATACGCTTATTGGACAACGTGTTTTCGCGAAACGCGACGAAAAATACGGAGTGCTTGCGCGAGTGAAAGAGCCTTCGGGACTCCGTTTAATGAGGAAATAGTGTTAAAAAAATGGAAACGCAGAGCAACGTTATAAGGATGTCCAAAGAGGACATCCCACTGATTTCCAAACCGCGGAATGACAGCTCCTGGTCGAGGTGACATATATTCCGTCTTATATTCCAACTTATTTTCGATGTCGAGATGCTCAATTTGTAACCTTTGATGATTCTCTCGCGACAATAAATTTCCGATCAGCTGTTTGAAAAAACTGTCTAACAATGGATGCCTACGCGCGAATGCAGGTCGATCCGATTGAGGCGTTGACAATGGCTGTGCAGTTGTTTATATCTAAATTTTTTCTGTTTCTTATCGCTACACTGAATTGCAAAAATAATTGCCAAAATTTTCTTTTTTGTTTTTATCAAATTTCAAACATATTAATTTAAACATATCTACTTTGTTTCTTAATATATATAATAGTTTAATTATAAAAAATAGAGTGCTTTATCACTGTATTGCATCGTATTAAAATTTTCTTCCTCACTTTTATCAACATTTCAACACATCTATTTTGCTTTTAATTATAAATGTATATTAGCTTAGCTATAAAGAACAGACTTTAATGTGGATCGTCATGATCATTAATTGTACAGTGTTGTATCAATAAATTGACTTGATATATTATATTTCATAGGCAATATTTATAGACAAACAATAGAAAAATTTCAATTTCTCATTCTGTTTCAATTTTATATTTAGTTTTGTTAAGTCAGAATTATCTCTTGCGATTACAGATGTTGTACTTGGATGTGGAGGAGATGCTGCAGAGAACGGGAATTGAGAGCCAGAGTTATTCATATTGGGCAACCTATGCACGAAAAGTTTCCCACTAATGTTATAAGAAATCAAAAATACAACGTTGTTACTTTCTTGCCTTTGGTACGCTCTTCTAATTACAGATATAATCTCAATATTCTTTTAAAACTACCTGAAGTAGTAACGATTGATAACGCTTACTGATTATGTCCACAGGTCCTCTTTCAGCAATTCAAATTCTTTTTGAATTTATACTTTCTCCTTATGGCTATATCGCAATTTATACCAGACATAAGAATAGGATACTTGTACACATACTGGGGGCCACTGTGCTTTGTTTTAACTGTGACAATTTTCCGCGAAGCTATCGATGATTTTAGAAGATACAAAAGAGATAAAGAAGTTAATGCACAAAAATATTATAGACTAGTGAAAGGTTTTGATACCCCGGAATTAGTACCAAGTTCCAAATTACGTGTGGGTGACTTGGTAAGGTTTATCACAATATCTCTGAGCGATTATTTTTCATTTTGACTTTCTATTATCTTATATGATAATATTTTATATAACGTGACAATTTGTATTTTTCTTTGATAATTAGGTTATAGTAGAGAAGGGTCAAAGAGTACCGGCCGATTTAGTATTATTACGCACAACCGAGAAATCTGGCGCCTGTTTCGTACGGACCGATCAGTTGGATGGGGAAACGGATTGGAAATTAAGATTAGCAGTGCCTGCAACGCAAAAATTGGAAAGCAATTCTCAGTTGTTTGATATTAAAGCCAGTTTATATGTTGAGAAACCTCAGAAAGATATACATAGTTTCATCGGCACTTTTTCAAGGGTGAGAGATTTAATTTTCTCATCTTATTCTAAAAAGTTTCTCTTTTACTCTTCTCTCATGTAATTATTCTTTATTTTCAGTATGACGGATACAGCAGTGAAGAAAGCTTAGGTGTAGACAATACGTTATGGGCGAACACAGCTGTGGCATCTGGTTCCGCCCTTGGTATCGTCGTTTATACTGGTCAGGAAACGCGATCATTAATGAATCATTCAGAAATCAGATCGAAAGTTGGTTTACTTGATCAAGAAATTAATCAATTAACTAAGGTATTATGCATGAAAAATTGTGTGACATACGGCATTATTGACATACGGCATATCGTATGAATGTTTGTACATCCTAATTGTATTTCGATAGGTACTATTTTGTGCAGTAATAGGACTTGCGCTTGTAATGATGTGCTTGAAAGGCTTTAACGGACCATGGTATCGTTACATGTTCCGCTTTGTTCTGTTGTTTTCCTACATCATACCGATCAGTTTGAGAGTAAATCTGGATATGGGCAAAGCGTTTTATGCGTGGTGCATTCAACGAGATAAGGATATTGCCGGTACAGTTGTGAGAACAACTACCATTCCGGAAGAACTTGGACGTATATCATATTTGCTAAGCGATAAGACCGGAACGTTGACACAGAATAAAATGGTGTTTAAGAAGTTACATTTGGGCACTATATCTTACGGTCAAGAGACGTTCGACGAAGTGACATCAGTATTAAAGACTTATTATCCGACTGATATGGAGAACTCGCCGGTGAAACCAGCGCTGTCTGTACACAGCGGGAAAGTGCGAAGATCCGAGAATACCCGAATTTATGATGCTGTGCACGCTCTTGCTCTGTGCCACAATGTAACTCCGGTATATGACGAGGTAAATAAATCCTCGAATTTAGACTCTGTAAGCGTGCAGACGGTGGAAACCGGAGATACAGGTTCTATCCAAAGGTAATAACTTGTCGTTAATCAATTACAAAAATTGAGAAAAGTCGGGAAAATCCTTAATTAAAATTTTAATATTTTAGTCAAACGGAAGCGGATCAACATTACTATTTGCCGGAACAGAAACGTAATTACCAAGCTTCGAGTCCAGATGAAGTAGCCTTGGTGAAATGGACGGAGGAGATAGGATTGGCTCTGATCAAACGGGACCTAAACTCGATGCAATTGAAGACTCTGAATGGTCAAATATTAAATTACACTATACTGCAAATATTCCCTTTTACATCAGAGACCAAGCGAATGGGAATAATCGTAAGGGAAGAGTCCAGTTCTGAGATCATATTTTATTTGAAAGGTGCTGATGTTGTAATGTCTGGCATTGTACAATATAATGATTGGTTGGAAGAAGTGTGCGAAAACATGGCACGTGAAGGTCTCAGAACGTTGGTTGTAGCAAAGAAAAATCTGACCGAAGATCAGTACCTCGATTTTGAAGCAAGGTAACATTATTAAAAATATTGCAACTATTTGAATAATAAAATATCTAACTAAATTATATTAATGTTTTTAGATACAACGCGGCGCGAATGAGCGTTAGCGATCGTGTATCGAGGGTTGCTGCAGTCGTGGAAAGTCTCGAGAGAGAAATGGAATTATTATGCGTGACCGGTGTCGAGGACAGATTGCAAGACAGAGTGAGGCCTACACTGGAACTCTTGAGGAACGCCGGAATCAAGATATGGATGCTGACTGGTGATAAATTAGAGACCGCAACGTGTATAGCAAAATCTTCACGGCTCGTCTCGCGCACTCAAGGCCTGCATGTCTTCAAATCTGTCGTGACGCGTACCGACGCCCACCTAGAACTGAATACGTTTCGTAAGAAGCAAGATTGTGCCTTAGTTATCAGCGGTGATTCTCTGGAAGTATGCTTACAATATTACGAGCAGGAATTTCTGGAACTCGCTTGCGGTTCGCCCGCCGTCGTTTGTTGCCGATGCTCTCCCACGCAGAAAGCTGAAGTTGTCAGTCTCATACAAAGACACACTGGCAAAAGAACGGCAGCTGTCGGCGATGGTGGTAACGATGTCTCCATGATACAAGCTGCGGATGCTGGTATATGTTTAATCATTTAGATATTCCAGTTATTATATATTCCTCTAGATATTATTACAGTGCATTTTTTTTATAGGGATTGGTCTTGAGGGTCTTGAAGGAAGACAAGCATCATTAGCTGCTGATTTTTCAATTTCTCAATTTAGTCATCTTGCTAATTTATTATTAGTTCATGGCAGAAGAAGTTATAAACGATCAGCTGCGTTAAGTCAGTTTGTTATACATCGTGGTCTGATAATCTCAACTATGCAGGCTGTATTTTCTGCAGTCTTTTATTTGTCTTCGGTTGCTTTATATCAAGGTTTTCTTATGGTAGGGTAAGTAATACAAGTATATTACGTTAAAAATTAAATTGAATGCTCACTGTGTAAGTCCTTATAGTAATCCTCGTAAAAAACTTACATATCTCAATATACTAAAACTAAACTTTATTATTTATATGAAAACTTTTAGATATGCCACAATATACACAATGTTTCCCGTCTTTTCGTTGGTATTAGACAAAGATGTATCAGGAAAAATAGCGCTTACTTATCCAGAACTTTATAAAGAGCTTAGTAAAGGTCGTTCGTTGTCATATAAAACTTTTTTTATGTGGGTTTTGATAAGTATATATCAAGGTATGTACAAATTTTCAATTAAATGTAGCTACATATAAATGCAAGAAAGAAAAACAACTGTTTTTGTGATATTTTTTGTGATATTCTAGGAGGAGTAATCATGTATGGTGCACTTATAATGTTCGAGGATGAGTTCATTCATATAGTAGCTATAAGTTTTTCAGCGCTAGTTTTGACAGAATTAATAATGGTTGCTTTAACCATTAGAACTTGGCATCATATAATGATGCTTGCTGAAATCTTCTCTTTGGCGCTCTATTTATTATCGTTAGTCGTCTTGAAGGATTACTTCGGTAAGTATATAATATAATATTTAACAAGTGTAATATAAATTCATGTCATTATATATAACCTTTTTCAATATAGATGCTGAATTTATTAAAACAACGGACTTCTTATGGAAAGTATTGGTGATAACGTTAGTCTCATGTATGCCGTTGTACATTTTGAAGTTTTTGAGGAAGAAATTTTCGCCTCCTAGTTACACGAAATTATCCTAAAATCTTATGCGAAAATTGATAACTTTGCATCTGAATGACAAAGGAGGATGCATCAAACATCAGCTTATAAAACAAAGAGATGTATAAAAATTTTCTTTCGTTCTATAATGCCTTTAATCCAATCCAAATAATTACTTAGTTAATTTTTTAATAAGAAAAACTATACGCACCATTTTATAGCAACCAACTATTTTTGTAACAATCAACTTTTACAACATTGGTTCTAAGAGACTAATGTAACAGAAAATCCCTATATTATCAATAAATAAAAACCGATAAAATTTCTTGTATTATATTTGTATCTGCATACTGACTTGAAGAAAATTGGATTGGATTGAACTTATTATCAAGCGAAATTGATTTTACTACTCTCCGTAATGTTAATTCTTCCTGCAAGCTTATCTATTACGCATCTTTGCTTTAGATTAAATACATGACCTTTTTTTATACCTGATTTTCTTAAAATATTTTTTGTTTGTATATTAATTTATTTTCGAATGTATTGCCAAAGGTCACATCTTCCATTTCAGTGCGTTTGTGCACACATTGCAGCATTTATATTCTATTCTATGTATCGTTCATTTTTTTAAACATTCATTAGATATGTTTCTCTAATCAAGCACAACAGTATTTCTCATATATCTATTCTAAATCTTCAAGTATCCGCATAGATTAATACCAATAATCTTAATTTATATGATAATAACTAAATGCATTTCACTTAAAAATTGCTAGAATTAATACGATTAAGGGCTAGAATTTGAGTAGCAGAAATAAAACTGTGATTCTTGCGAACTAAATCTAACCATTTTTTTGCACTGATGTTATTACGTAAGAAGCTTTATTTTTTCCCAAAACTATTCGAACTATTCATTTTTCTTTAATTTATTCCTCAAAAAAATTTCTATACAAAGGGCATATCTTTTTTGTTATCATTTATATTCTTAACATATAAATAATTATTGAATTACATAATGTTTTATATTCATGTATATATTACAAGTATGCAGAACATAATTAATGTAATCGTTATTGTTATCTCATGTAATGTAAAGTATACCACAAATAATATAGCTGTTTCTAGAGGACTATTATTTGCTATGTAATGTGTTTATCATTAATTTATTCGCAAATAAAATAATATATTCCTTTTTCTGTGATATTTGTATTGTTTGTATATAATATCCATATTTGCAGTTTATTAAGATAAATTACAGGATTTAGCTTCTATATAAAAATTTTTGTTAAAGAAACCCATTTATTGTTAAAGAAACATTTTATTAATTTTATCTAATAATTACATTAAGTTTAGCAACTGCTGCTTTTTCAACTTGTTCATGAATTTTATTGACTTCACCCTGAGTCAAAGTACGTTCCATGTGTCTATACACTATGCTATAGCAATGAGACGTTTTCTTAGTCTTTGGATGTATGAATTTATCCTTCAGCAAGATCTGTTCAATGATATCACCACCTATTTCTCTAACTATATCATAAAAATCATGAGAAGAATAACTTTCTTCTCCAGGCAACCAAAAACTTATGTCGTTTGTACAAGGAGGATATATACTAACAGGCTGAAAAGTTACATTCATCATCTCTATGTAAATTCCATATAAATTATTAACTAAGCAACAAAATATACAAAAATATGCAGATAATTAAATATATAATATTTGATATAATATTTGAAATATATAATATTTGAAATAATTATTTATCTCACCTTATATTGTATATGTGCATTAGGATTGTCCACTTTGAACTGATTTAGAAAACCAGCGTCATTGCTCCAAAATAATCTTATATCTGGAATATTATATAAACGCATAGCCAAACGTTCCAAGCCAAGACCAAATGCCCATCCAATTTGATCTACAGCACCGGCTCTGTGAAGAATTTCCTGACGCATAATACCACAGCCCAATATTTCAAGCCAATTGTCATTATACAATATTTCTAGCTCCCATGATGGATGGGTAAATGGGAAATATTGATCAACCCATCGGCACTGCACATCTGTTTAGGAACAAGTATCTTCAAATTAATTTCAAGTCATTTAAAAAACTGTGATGAATTAGTCTCGTTTGAAAACGAGATACTTATTCTCACTAAAGAAATAATAAAAGCCAAATACCTTTTCCAAATAAAGTTTTCGTTAGATTAGTTAGAGTATTTTTCATTTCTTGTTCCATTATTTTCACCGCTTCTAAACTGTGACAAGCCTGTTTCTCGACACTTTCTATCCCCCTATGTTCAAACAATTTCAGATTTTCGGAATCCTTTACGTCACGAAATATCTCTTGTGACGTACGCAGTCTGACTGCGTCAATCTGGTGAAAAATCGGATAGTGCGTGCTATCAATTTCATCACGTCGGTACACATCACCAATAACGAGAAAATTATTCAATCCCATTGCAATCAGTTCTGCCTGATGGGCAGTGGTATGCGCTCTCAGTAATGTATCTTGATTTATGAAGTAACAATCAGTCTTTTTTCTACTTGGATGATCCTTTGGTACAAGAAGAGAATCGAAATTTTGCTCAACCGTAACTATGGGACTTATATTATCATAAATACTGAACGATGGAGTCCCACTTTTATTGCGAAACTGCCCATAAAAGTAATTCATAATGCGCTGTCTTAAATGCGAGAGTGGATGGTATTGTTGAACATGCAGATTTCTTCCCAATTTAGCAATGATATTTGGAGTAACATTCGTCCAATCATCTGTTCCATATTTCTGACCTAAGAGCACTAGCTCGTTGCTTTTATTAGCATTAGCAGCCACTGAGGTTGTCCTACAAATAATTTTAACACTATTTCTCAATGTTTCCTTGCAGAAGTGGCATGTAATATACCTGTAAAAAATCTACTTTGAGCATAAAATTCATATCAGTCAATTTTTTTAATCTCGCTATTCTGTTTGAATCTACTTGACTTAAAAAATATATTTCACTAATTATTTTAATTACAAATATTTTTCCTTAGCGTTTGATAGCTTTGTCGATTAATGTAAGATCTCTTTTCTATAAAACAATACATTTATTTTTATTTTTTAGAATTTTCTGATCTAAATGATATAATCTTAAATTAAATTTAAACAGAACAGCAAGATTAAAGTTAAATAAAATATGCTCAAACATTACATACCACATTGTTAAATCTTAATTAAATTCTTCTTAATTATAACAAGAGACTTACATTAGTCTCAAAATCTTTTCAACATAAATCTTCAAGTGAGTACATTTTGCAAATTGTAAAAAATAAATCTTTATTTCTTGTACATATATGGACAAGAAATAATATTATATATGTATAATATACTGTATAATATATAAAATAATATGTATAAATATATATAAATGGATATATTTATTCATGTTATATAAATAAAAATTATTTTAAAACATGACAGGCTTGTTCTTTTAAGCTGAACTTACATCATTCACTTTATCTCTTTTTTTCTTCTATATCGTTTTCTCTTTATGTTAGAGAGAAAAAGAGGAAGGATAAATGACGCAAGTTCATAAGAATAGATCTAATAATAAAAAAAAAATCAAACTATAAAGTTGCAGTAACAAATTAAAATTATTAATAAATCTACCGAGAAATTATGCAAAAATATATGCGGAGGTTATGCAATAAAATATGAATTTTACATACGAGTACCTACATGACTAGCATCGAGTACAATTTATTATAAATGACGTTATTTCACATTCAATATTTATAGTGATAATCAAAGTCTACCAGCGATATTACGAAAAATCGCCGCTTGCACAGATTATTCATATACGTCAAAGCGCAGTAAAGCGCCATCAAATGCAACTACCCACGATACATGTATGAACATAACCATGTGCCACAACCAGCCACGATAAAATCGTCGGATGTAGCTCCGTTTAAGTTGCGCCGGTTCCGAATTTTTGTAAATAATGGCTCTCTGTCGAGACGCGATCCTGAGCCTTTATCGGAATTTGATCCGAGAAAGCAAAAAGTGGAATTCGTATAATTACAGGTAACATAGTTACTAAGCGACTTTTATATCAAACATCTAGGAATAAATCATCCTTTTTTTTCTTTTGTATATATATTTATTCTTAAAGATATTTCTATCTTAAAGATATTTTGCTCTAAATTTTATTCTAAAAAGAAATATTCTTTAAATATCTCTGCAACTCCTCTGCAACTTTTTTCTTTATACATCCAAATTAACACAGTATGCAATTTTTTTTATTTTGTAAATAATTATGATCTGAGTTTTTCTTTAATTCATGCATTTTTTTATATGGTGATATTTATGTAGAGATTAATCTCTGTTTTCTTTTCAGAATGTATGCTCTGCGAAAAATACGACATGAATTTAAAGAAAATAAAACGTTACAAGATAAGGACAAGATTAAACAGTGTTATGAAAAAGGACAGGAAACATTGAAAATAATCAAGAAACAAGTCATATTGGGTGATCTTTACAGCACTAGGCCCTTAGTGATTGAAACTAGGAGCAAGCAGCGTAATACTTAATAGTAAAATAGTATAAATAATTCTAATTATTTTTAATTTAATATTACACTTTTCATCTGCTTTGTATCTATCGTTTTCTTTTAATATATTACGAAATAAGCTCAAATTAAGGAAATGTAATCATTGAATATACAATTACATTTAAAGATTTTAATTCAAAATTCTAATTAATTTTTCACATAAAAACAAATCAAATTTAGTAGTTCCTGCGGCAAAATAAAACTCATTTGCATCACTATGTAACATACCATGAAACATTTTTATATTTATGTATATAAAAATCACAAATGATTTACAAATTGTTAAAAAATAAAATTTTGTTACTATTGATTAGATCTGTACATTTTTCTATGTAAGATAATTGATTTTATAATTGATATTAATCTTTTAATATTACAAATATTTCAGTAGAAATAAAAATTAGAAACCCCAAAATAAATTAATTCAACAAAAAGTTAATTAATCAATTATCAATATTTCTTACATTTTATGTAATACTAACCTTTATCCTTAAATTACAATTTATATTATAATATTCTGATAATTTTTAAAAATCATTGTTTTATTAATAATTGTCTCTACATGTACAAGGATTTCTTTTATTCTTTTCTTAAGTGAATAATTATGGAATGTTATTGTAAAGTAAAAAATATGTAATTTATAGAGGCACGCATTGTGAAATGTTTTCTTTGTTTATATTCTATATGTTAACTAAGACTGCATTCTGATATTCATTGAATCAATACTAAAATCTATACGTGACGAGCTATATTTTATTATTATTTATTTTTTCGCTAAAAAGCTTTTTTGTAATTTTAGTTATATTAAATTTTTAAGAATATTATAATCTTTACAATTATTTTTCAATATTAGTTGTTCTCATTTTTTTAAATGTTAACAAAAATACTATATTTTATTTAAAAATTTCGATAAAAAAGTAATTAAAGTAATCTAATATACATTTTCAATTTATTGAAAGTAGATTATTGAAAGTAATAGCAGAGAGAAATGTCTAAAAATAGGATTGACTACTTCTACTTATTTGTTTTTTGATATTCAGCAATTTAATTATCAATTGTCTTTTCTAGTACTAACACGTTGACTGCGTTGATTGTATAATCATGTAATTTTGCAGTTATTGATTTTATTACATTTCTAAGACAATTTTGGAATATATATATATATATATATATATATATCATGCAATTGTATTATGAAAATAGTTTTATAATTATTTCATATAATTATTTCATATAATTATTTCATATAATATTTTTCTTTATTACATTATTACAATTTTTCTGCATACACTTATATAATAATTTATTTTAATTTATTTACATTACATGTAAAAGTTATACGTGATATCATATAATAGTTTCATGTCACTCTTCTCCACTCTTCTCCAATGATTATTCTATCCAATCTAATTTTATGGTTTACATTGCAAATGTTTATTATATCTTATTTTTATTTATCACAACATTATTTCTATTTCTATTCTATAAATTAATATATAATCAGCAGTAGAAAATGAATATTAATATTACTTTGATGAAGGTTAACATTATTTTGACAAAAATGCATTCAAACTTTACATTAATTTTATTCCTCACAGCAAAGAATTATGAATTTTAATATAAATAAAGGAAAAACGAACGCCAAAACAGTTACCACCACAGTTACTCTTTTTCGCACGCAGGTTTAATTCTTTATTGTAAATTCATACATGTACATGTATCAATGTTATGTGCTAATTATTTGTGATTTTATTTGATTTGATTATTTAATTTATTCCATCATATCAGTTTTAAATAACTTATTTTATTTCTTAACTTATTTTAATATAATATTACTTATTTTAATATATTATGTATCGAGTTAGCCAAATAGCATTCCGAAAAAAGCTGAGTTCACATCTCTTCTTATAAGGAATAGAATTTTTTAATCCATTTTCACAAATGGAATATAGCGTTTGTGCGATACCGCTGTATTACTCTATCTTACTCGCTGCTTTCAAACATTTGAGTTCTGTGAAGCTTTCTTATTTCACATGACAGTTTACAATTCATGCCAATATGAAGCAGGATGGCAAAGGACAATAACGTTATGCCTAAATATTAAAAATTATTAAAGTATTATCATTTAAATATTCTTAATTACTACATATGACGATGTTCCTGCCTAAAATGTAGTTCTTAATATACACATCAATATTTATGCATGCTACGTGTTTATAAACATATGTGGATGTTGTGTATCTATGCATTATACACACACACACACACACACACACACACACACACACACACACACACACACATATATAT